AAAACAGGCCCTTAAAAAAAAAAAGCACGAATAACCCTTAGGAGACTTGTAGAGTGTTTGTGTTGGGGGGGGGGGGGGGGGTAGATGAGCAAAAAAATTGGCCCATTTTACGTGAAAATGGGCCCATTTTTGTCAAAAAAAGGGCATTAGGAAGCTTATGGAGTGCTTCTTTTTTGAGGGAAAAAGGTGTGTCTTATACTCCGGAAAATACAGTAATACACTTGATACTGAAGACAGTATCCTATTATTACAGTATTGCAATCCTACTTGTATTAATCAGGGAGCAGGCTCTCCAGAATGTATGTAAAACTAAGTTGTAAATTACCTTATGCAAATATTGTTACATCAAATACCAAAAATTGTTCTATAGTCAATAAAGAGTGCTTTTGGGCAAATAGCCACATTTTTTCTAATGGCTTTCTATAGAATCTGAAAGCTACATGATAAACAGAGTTAGGACTTCCAAAAAAAGTTGCAAACATATTAGTAAATATTAAACAACCTTTTATCAATTTAAAACCTTTGGTTTTAACAATCCCAAAAGTGCCACCCCCCCTCCCCAAAACTGGACTTTTTTGGTGTTTTCCTTGAAAGCATTTGGAAAACTTTTTGGATGAGAAGCAAAACTTTTTCAAATAAAACACCAAGAAAGTCCAGTAGCCTTTTGGGGGTGGGGGGACACCTTTGGGACAACCATGACCTGGATGATTGACACACAATCACAAATACACAACTTTACCTGGAAGGAAGCTCTGGGACATGGTTTTAAAGGAAGACTCGTTCCAATTCTTCTCACAAAACTGCGAGATGAACCATAGGGTTTGTTCTGCCAAATTGGTATTGTCTGAGGACCAATACAATATTAAATGAAATCATTCAATCAGTAGATAAGGGGTAGTTTTAAAAAAAACACAACTGTCTTCCTAGTTTCATGCAAGAGATTAAATATACTAGGCACTTGCATTTAATTTTACTATCATCACAAAACAATGGGAGAAGTAACCAAAACTTTAGATAAATCCCTCAATGGAACTTGAGTGACTCATTTCACTGCTCTTGTTTGCTCAAACATCTTGCAGCATCTTTCCTGTTGTTTATATGTTAATGTGTTGGGATACTACTGGTCAATGTGCAAAATTTGCATCCTAAATCTGTCTTGCCATTGTAATCTATCCTAGCCACAACAACACTGTAAAGACTCTTTCTGTCTGCAGGTCATCAGCAAGCCACTACAACCTTGATTAGTTCAACTGTCATTTAACAAATCAAGTGAAGGTTTAACACAGTAAAACAAGTGATGACTTGGTCACCTGCTTTTTAGTTCAGCTAGTTTTACAAACACAAAGTGAATTATTTGAATGAGAAAAATATGAAGGAAACAAATTAAAAATAAAAATGTTTTAAAGACAGAGGCCATAATACAATTTAATTTCTATTATCAAGAAACATCATAGGATATATTTTAATCCATAAACTGCTGACCTGGGATAGTTCTGTTTAAAGGGAATGTATCTTTATAATGTACTAAGGAATTTGAAAATAACTGGCTTCATAAATTCAGCCAGTGCATCCTGGGGGGGGGGCTTAGCTATTGATCGTTTTGTGCCTGGTCATTTTAAAAAGTTATTTTGCAGGCAGTTTAGAAGTCACTAAAGGCTGCAGAACTTTTCTTTAAAAATGAGACAATGAATCATTTTCAGAAATTTTAGTATGCAGATTATATACAGCAAACAGAATAATTTCATAAAGACAATGTGGGAGTTAGAAGGCCTCCCCACAATTCTATATCTGACTCTGAATTGCAAAAGGAACAAGCTTCTCTATTCTAATGCTTTTTATGATATAAATTGCCAAGATAAGGGAGGAAAACACAAGTATTATCAAAACAAATTATACCATACGATACTGTGTCATAATATGTCATTTTTTCCCCAAAATTTATTATTATGGCAAGTGAACTCTGCCTCTATCCTAGAAAGATTAGTAGTTTCTATAACCAGCAGGTTGGCAACCTTTTTCATTGGTGGGCCTGGATCTGCTATTGAGGATCCTGTACAAGGATACAATCTCAATAAAAAAAAAAAAAAAAAAAAAAACTAGAGACAACTCATATAATGTGTCACCCTTGAAGCTGGCTGAACTGTGGCCATTTTCTTTTGTTAGTTTTCCTCTAGGGGGATTTTCTTCTCACTGCTTCAGGGCTGACACAGCTTGGAGCTAAGGGGCCAGGGAGGGAGGGTGCAGAGGTAGCTGGAGGGTGTAGTAGCCTAAATAAAATTATTTCCCCTGAGAATCAAGGATGTTGGTGCAGGTGTTCGAATGTAGAGGCTGGGGTCATCTAGCAACTGGACTGCATGCTTATTGGACCATGTGACTGGAGTATTGAGTGGGGGAGTGAAAGTTTTACTTTTAATTGAGTGTAAAACCAGTGGGAACCTAGAGCCGGTTTTTTATCAGGAATATGCCAATTTGATATGTCCCAATAAAATGTTCTTTGACGAATTTGTCTGCCTCTGAGTTCTTATTGAATGGGGTGTATTACTTGGAACCCTGACATAATGATTGTAAAGGGACAGTCGTGCTTTGGAAATCTCAGTTGAGAACAATAATAATTAACATTTATTATGGTCATAAACCAGCATAATAAAAAGAAATAAACTTCCCAAATGAGCATATGTATGTACACTATAAAACACCAAACACTGAAAGATATAGAAACGAGAGATAAAAGCGAAAAGGGGCAAAATTCTCAGTGGTGTGGGAGGAGGATCTGTAAATTGGGGACGTTTTTCCCCATCATCCATGATCAAAGCAATAAACAAACTGAACTGACGGAACTTGGGGTGGGGGATGAACAATTTCTCTCCAAATGGCAACAGCACAGAATTTAACTATGTTTCTAAGAGATTTCTGTGTACATGTTCCTCAGCTGGAAGGAACAACTCATTTCCTTGATTGACCTGCAAGATCAATTTAGCAGCCGGGGTGGGGGAGTTGATTAATCTGAATGCCAGCCTCTGTGATAAGGGCAGGACAACCACCCATGTGGCTATCTCAAGGTCACTCTGGTCTTGTCCTGGGATACCTGGTCTCCTGTCTAGCAACACCTAAAGGCAAGGTATTAAATCTCAACAGGTTGAGAAGAGGCTCAACCCATTAGGTAGTTGTCTGGGATCAAGGGCCTTTGGGCTTGCCCTGATCATAAAGGAGAAGGAGGGGAGAAATCCAGTCGTTGGAAGACTGGTGAGCAGAACATATTATCTCAGTTCCAAACTGGATCCCATCTTGGCCTGTGTAATCAGATAGCAAAAGCACTTAGACTTATACACCACTTTACAATGCTTTACAGCCCTCTCTAAGCAGTTTACAGAGTCAGCCTATTGCCCCCAACAATTTGGATCCTCATTTTACTGACCTCGAGTGGGTGGAAGGCTGAGTCAACCTTGAGCCTGGTGAGAATCAAACTGTCAAATTGCAGGCAGCCAGCAGAAGTAGCCTGCAGTACTGCACTGTAACCACTGCACCACCGTGGCTCAGATAAAGGATTGACAGATAGCACCTTCTACACAGCCTAATTTGTTTTTTTTCCAAATTAGCTGCAGTTACCCAATAGTCTTAAAGAGCTGAGAATACCTGGAATAAAGAACAATTTGGAGAACCTAAAACATTCAAGGCATGGGAGCAGTTAGCCCAGATAACAGGAAGTAGATGTACTCAAAATAAAATTTTGATGGATAGATGGATGGATGGAGGCTTCAAGAGAACTTCCTAAGAAGACATCTGTGAATGTTGCTCAAACTCTCCAGCTCTGGCATATTGATGGCACTATGATTAAACAGGTGCACAGAGCAAATAGATCATAATAAATTATTTCTAAGTGTTCTCACTTAAGGCACAAATGTCCAAGTGAGATTATACTTTGGATGCATAATGTGAAGACCTGGCTCTCTGGAGAAGTTTATGATGCTGGGAAAGATGGAAGAAAAGAGGAGAATGACCAATAGCAAAATTGATGAATTCAATTGCCATAGTGATGAACTCGCCACCAGAAGACCTAAAGGATCAGTATAGGGGCAGATTGTCCTGGGAAAAATATACTGAGGTAGTCACTTTGATCGAACAGCATTCTTCAAAATGAAAAAAAGTCTTCTGCAGTCACAGCATAAGCCTAAGATTGAAAATCAGGCTTGTCAGATGCTACTTCTTTTCTATCCTGCTCTATGGAGTGGAGAGTTGGTCTCTTGACAGAAAACCACTTGAAGAAACTAGAAGCATTTGAAATATGGATTTACAGGCAGCTGTTATGTATAAGGTGGGTTGACAAAGTCACAAATGAGGAGGTGATAAGCCGCCTGGGAAAGCCAAGGGAGATAATCAAGCCATTAAAAAGTGAAAATTAGAATAGTTTGGACTTGTGATGCGACACCCAGAAAAATACAGCATCCTTCACTTAATCCTCTAGGGATAAATTGTAGGCAAACGAGGTCCAGGGAGAAGAAGAACATCATGGCTTCAAAACCTAAGGGACTGGTTTGGACAAAACTCAGCAGCACTTTTTCATGCAGCTGTTGACAAAGATAGGATTGCCAACATGATCACCAACTTTCGATGACAGATACAGCACAAGAAGAAGTCACTATGACTCTATACTGACCAGATGACATGCAATCAAGCAAACAATCAATCAAATAAATCAAGTTATAAAGAAAGGAACCGACTGCCTTGACAATGAGGGGACACAGTATAATCTATTCAGATTAAGTGCCAGATTGTACAACTTTTGGCTCTCTTTTACTTGTACGTATATATTTTTGCCTAGTCCCTGAAAACTATGGCAAGCTGCAAGCTTCAGGCCTCATCATGCCAATCATGCACTGAACATCAAAACTAGGCTCCATGTATCTTTAATTTTCAAAATAACAATTTGGAGATTGAATTTCACCCACTAGGGGGCGACATTTTATAAAGCAATATACCTGGAAGAACAGGCTAATTTGTCTTGTAAGGGTTGCTTGTCTTACAATGTTTTTGGATGTTCTTTTCATTTTAATGTTATTGTATTTGTTTTTACTTTTTAACCACCCACAGTTGTCGTAGAGGTGGATGGCCTTATACATTTTCAACAGTATAAATCCATAAGAGTATACTGTCAAAATAAATTAAAAAATCAGGTACTTACTGATTCAGCTTCCATGTCTGTCCATACAAGAAGTATACGTAAGTCAGAGGATAAAATGGAAGCCCCAGGATTTATATATAAGCCGCACAGTATTTCATCCCTAAAGAAAATTGACCTGTTACAAACACAGATGAATGCAGATTGCACAGTTGTTTCATGTAATTTAAAGAAGGTAAGCCTAAGACCTGAGAGGCCTTTAATGATGCTGTTGGAACAACTGATAAGTCTGCCAAGCAGAAATGAGTGTTTTTTGTATTCTAAAAAAAGATATTCCTCATAGACACATAACCTCTCAAATACACAAATTCCCTTTATAATTTGCTTCACTATTCAATTACACAACTATCAGGATAACATTCAAGTAGTAAGACAAGTCCCTTGGTTGACAAGGGCTAAGCCTGGTAGAAGGGAAGCTATTTTATTGCTGAAATAAAAGACACAAATCAGAACAAAATGTAGGATTTTTGCCATTTTCACCTGTCATCTTTGAATAGAGAAAACATACTGTCATTATTACATGCTGGTTGAAGTGAAAGAGAATATTCCCTCATAATAACAATTAAAATTTATTTACTTTGTGATTAAAAATGCTACAATCTAAGTAAAACTTCAGTTTAAAGTTTCAGCATGCATTCCTTTGGAATCATCTGGAAAACGTCCCTCATAAGAGAATTAAAAGTTTGCAAAACATAGATTAGTTCAAGTTATGAGCACAAGGCACCTAAATATCCTTGCTATAAAGGTGCAGCTTAGGTCCATGTGGCCATTTCTGAAATCGTTTTTCCCGTTCCGAAGATTTCATAATCTTCTCATTGAAATCCAACTACTAAGCATGGGATGAAATGCAACTAGTAACACAACTATCGGCATTCTCAGAAGAAAAGCAACAAAGCAAATCTGATGCAACTTCATTGTTTCAGCCCAGAAGCCTTTACCAAAGAGGGGGACTAGTGAACAAATGGCATAACGCCTTTACATTCTGTGTGTTCTGTGGTGTAACATTGCCTGTCTCTGTGAAAGCCCCAGGCTTGCAATATAATCCTTTCAGCATGTTGACAAAAACCACCAATTCGGTGAGTACCTCTAAGTTGCTCAGGTCTAGATCAGCATTTCTTAATCTTAGCAATTGGAAATTGGATAGACTTCAACGCCCAGAAACCCCCAGACAGGCTGATGGTTGATTTCTTCCAAGGATGAGGACAATTACAAATCCATTCTTCAACTTGGCCATTTTTTGTCCCAAAATATGACACACATCCAGGCATTCTGTTATGCTACTTAATGACAGCAATAAAGTTACTCCCCCCCTTACCCTCCTAAATATGGAACTCACCGAATAATCTGAAGGAGCTCAGCTTTTCCTCATAATGGAATATCTGTGGAGTGGCATCCCATTCACTAAAGGTATCACAGATCAGATCGGTGATTATTCCAATAATGATTGTTCTGTTGAATAATAACATAAACCATTTTATTTACAGAATAGGAAAATGAACAAATATCTGCAGGAAGTAAAATGCATAAGCATTGACTCTATTTTATAAAAACAAGTTATACTGTCATTTCCCTCCTTAGCCACCTGATTTTATGATGTAATTATCTGGTTCCTAAAACCAACCAGGTAAGAAAGACAACCCCCAAATTTGTGACATGGGCTTTTAGATTGACCAAGTTTCACTAGTCATGTACACTACTTAGTTTGGCTTTGAAAACACAGTCCGTCTCTGATTTGGTTCATAAGAATGAAAAAAAAACCAGCAAGTGTTAGCAATTTTTATAGAAGCTCACAAGGGGAAAAAGAACATTTTTTTTTATTTATTATTACATTTATACTGCTGCCTATTTGCCCATGGTGACTCAAGGCGGCTTACAGAATATAAAAACAAGACAAAGGAAATAAACAAAGTTTAATTAAAACATTAAGCCAGCCAACTAGACAAGATTTCCTATTCTGTTCAGAGGCAATTAACAGTTTCTGTTAATCATGGCAAACTTTACAAAAGAATGTAATTATCTGATATGTCCTACTAGAGAGAGTTAACTCTCCAATCTACACAAAATTAGGGTCAAGAGTTTGACATATGCCATTCCTGGTATCACCCTCAGCCACCCCAGGATAACTATTCTCAATAGCAAAAGTTTCTTGACAAGTCATTTAGACAGAGACATATACAGTTAGTGTTTATCCATCCTCAGTTCATGTCATGCAGAATGAAGATGTGCTGAAGGTGGAACTTTTTGGTATTGGTTTTGCCCAGCTTGGAGGAAGAGGAAAATCAAAGAGAGAACAGCAGCAACAATACACACCAGAAATTAAAAGCTAATGCTCAAGACAATTCAGCAGCTAATTTAGTTTGTGGGGAGGGGGGATAAGGCATTTGTTTTACCCAGCTTGCCCTGATAATATAAGGCCAAGCATGAAATGGACAATACAATTTTTTACAGAAATCAATACTGATCCAACAATACTGTATCAACTTCCTTAAAAATAAAGGAAAAAATCTTTTTTCAAAATCCACACATGACATTTATGATGCTTAATCCAAACCACATTATCTGGAGCAGAAATGGGTAAAATGCATTATTGACAAATGCATAGCTAAGAAAAAAAGGAAGACACTTAATGAAGTAATTAGTTCCATCACTGTAAATAGGCCCAAATGCTTTGATCGGGTGGAGGTGGCATTACCGTTGTTCTCCTCCTACAAACAATAATCAATGGTAGAATTCAGATTATAGAACTTAATTGTATTTTTAAAATCGTCTACTTTTATTTCATATAGGGCGTCAGGAAGGATACATGGGAAGCATGGGGAGGATGCACAAGTGGTGTGGGAGGCATGGGAAGGGTTGGGGAGGGTGCACTGGCTAGTGCAAGTGCAGAATGGTTAAGGTAGGGTGTCCAGGTGTGGGAAACTTACACCAGCAACTTGGAAACGTCCCTGCTGGTTTCCCCACTGACTTTCTGGGAAAGCTAGTAGGAAAGCTCACAAATTATGATCATGCAGAGTTCTGTAGTCAGTTGCCAAACACAGAGATTTCCATCATGTAACTGGGGGCGGGGGGGGGGGAAGGGACCCTGAGGACCAATTCTAACCACCACTCATTCAGTGCCATAATTTTGAATGGTTGCTGAACAGGTGATCATAAGCTGAGGACTACCTGTACTTCATTTTATATTACACTCCAGACTTGGAAAACTGTATTCCAACAAAATTAATTATAACAAATAACCTCCAGATAGATTAATTGTCTTATGTCAGATGCCTTGTATAATTGCTTGGCCAAAAATTCTTGGGGGCATCAGTTGGGGGGTGGGCTGACATAGATAAAGTGGGAAATAGCAACGTTTATGTTTCTTTCTTCCCATTGACTCAGGAATATCCACTAGATGTATTCACAGAACACACTTAACCTGTTTACAATACTGAATACCTATTTGTTGTTAGCTGGCTAGAGTCATAAAAACAAAGTGTGGGGCTTTTACAATTTAAAACAAACAAATAACCATGACATAATCTAACATGAACACATCTATTTATTAAAAATTTGCAAATGAAACCAAGAAAAGAGCTGCTATGCTTTGAAAATCTGAACTACCACACTGAATGTATGCACCAGTGTACACTTGGGAGATGCAAGGCCTTAACACACCCCTACTCCAGAGCCCCTGAATGAGCAGACTGAAGTTAGGATACAATACTAGAACCAATTCTTGAATAACTGTTCCTATTGAAGTTTCAAGCATCACTGTCTGGGAACACAACAGTTTTTAAGTGAAGCTATTTTCCAGAAAAAAAGCCAATTCTCTCAGGTTTAAATGTTCTGCAAACAAAAGCAAAAAAAAAAGCTGGTTCAATCACCAGTATTTTCATTTAAGGGGGAAAAAACTTTGTCATCATAATACAATTACTTGGAAAAAGAAAACACTGAATTCTTCCAAGTAATTTACTGTGGAGTCAGCAGCTTGCTCTCTAGAGGAAATTTAAGAACTGTCCAAAAAAGAGATGAACAACTTTGTCCTTACAAAGCTAATAACTTAATATCAATTTTCTACTTTTAACAAATATCACTCTTGACATCTTCACCAAACAATCCTTTTTCTGGTCTCATATGCTACTTTGAAACAGCAAAATGAAACAGAACCAAAAGCCATTTTATGGACAAAACCTATTATTATAGCACCAACCCTAAACACTTTTTAAACCTAATCTACCTAAAGTAACAAGGTTTAAAAGCTTGAGTAAAGAGTTATAAAACATCTACATAAGGATTTTTAATGTCCAGAAGCAGGATGCATTCTGTATGTCGTCAATCAGGGAATAAGTTTTGTTTAACCATCAGGGAACGGAGTTGCTCACAGGGAGAAAAATTGACTTATGACATTTAATAAATAAAAACCTAAAGTAAAATGTTTTCCCCAGGACTGTTTTTTTTTAAAGGATGCTAAATGTGATTCTCCCATTCAGAAGCTCTGCCCTTCCCAGGCATTTAAAGTGGTGGGAGGGGACTGGAGGGAAGAGATGACATTATTTTAAAAATAAAAATAAAAAATAATAAAGAACCTTGTGGCAAACCTCCACACATGGAATTGACAAACCTTCTCGGACTAACGGGCCACACACTACAATCCCCATTTAGCTGGGAGCTGGATGGGGATGATGGGAGTGGCAGTCGCATCACCTCCCTTAACCCAACCCCCCCACCTCCAAAACAGCCTATGGGAAGCACCAGGCAGTGTTTTGGGTGCAGCATGGATTTTGTTGCGGAGAGGGAAGCCAGTATACCCACCCGCTACCCCGAAAGTCTCTGCAAAACGGTGGAGGGGAAGCAGGGGAGCACTCTGCACCAGCTCAGGAACCCTCTTTCCCGTCTTCGTACCAGTCGCAGAGGCTGGGCCTACCAGGTGGATGAAGCAAAACGGGGGAGTAAAGAGAGGTCCGGCTAGTGCCCGCCCCCCTCCTTGCCCGCCAGCCGCTCCTCCCCCTCCTCCTTCCCCCTTTCACACGTTCCCTTCCCCTGGCACGGTTGTGGGTCCCCACCGCCGCTGCCCATGAAGGCGGTGGTCCCGTCAGGCCGAGCCGAATTCCCCGCCACTCAGAGAAGACGACCCGGAGGCGGAAAGCGCCCTCGACGACCCTAGCCACCAACCGCGAAGGCCGCTTCCCGACGCTCCCGAGTTTTGCCCTTCTGCTCGGCAACCGCGGCGCCCCCCTCCCTCTCCTCCTCAACGTCGCCCGGCTCTCCTCCTAGCGCATGCGCAAGGAAGGTCGGCGCGTGACGCCCCCACTCCCGCCACGCCCCCTGAGTGACGGAAGCGTCGGGAGGTTTCCCCCGGGGGCGCTTCCCTTGCAAGCGCCCGCAGGCAACTCTGCTTGCAAGAATAAGCCCTGAAAGCGTGCAGATGATGATGATGATGATGATGATGATGATGATGATGATGATGATGATGATGATGATGATGAACATGGTTTTTGGAATAAGCAGCGGTGAACAGGGCTTGCTGAACGTATTCAACAGCTAACTCAGTGTGCCAAGGTTGGATGTTTTCACTCATTTGGAACCTCTTTGGAAAAGCTTTATAGCTCCCGCTGCCTTAAGAAAGTTCAAAACGTTCTTAAAGATCCATCTCATCCTGGGCAGCCTTTTTTTGGAACTATTACCATCTGGCAGACGGTACAGGATAATAAAAACAAGGACAAATAGGCTGAAAAGCAGTTTCTATGCCAGGGCAGTAACTATATTGAATTCTACTGTATAGAGTAATATTAATGCAATATCGGGTTTTCAGTTTCAATTATATAGAATGTAAAGGATGTATGTTTGGGTTTTTATTTTTATAGTTATAATGTACATTGAAGATGGCATTTAATTTCATTGTACCATGCGCAATGACAATACAATAAAATAAAATAATTTTGGTGTGTGTGTGTATTTACTGTGTTCATATTTATGTTTATACTTATACCTGTTATCTTTTACTTGTTTGACTAAATAAATAAATAAATAAATAAATAAATAAATAAATAACTTCATAGCGGAACTGAAAGTTTCCATCACAATGAAGGTTGAGATTTTATTTGAAGCTTCTGTTCGAGGAAGTTATCATTCATTTATTTCTGACTTTCAGAATAACAGAGTTGGAAGGGATCTTGGAGGTCTTCTAGTCTTCTAGTGGCATCCAACTTCTGGACACAAATATGAAAGGTCAGAGTTGGTGTGTGTCTTTGAGGTGCGTATTTTGGATTTTTCATCATCCTGATTTATAATGAATGCCTAGAGGGGTGATGTGTCAAATCAAAGGAGTATTCCTGAAAAGCTGCGGTTTCTCCAGGAATGAGTTGCCTGGGGAAGTAACAGCTACTTGTCAACTTGCCCCACCCAGAAGGTGGAGTAAAGAAGTACTGAGTTAGGCTGTTTCTCAAAGAATCTTCTTTATTGGGCAAAGTCACATTACTTGCTTAGTTACTTTCAGTGCTGCAAATCACTTTGAATTTCAAAACTGAATTGACATTATGAGCCTTAGGGTAAATAATGAGTGTGCTGCAAAATGTTGTGATATCTTTGATCCAATCAACTACATTTCATTTCAAACCTTTTTTTTTTGTCAGAGTACAACATGAGTACAACAATTGTCTGAGCCCCCCTTCATGCATGCCCCCCCCAAACACAATACAACTCACAGTGAAAGACAAAAAAATCCCTAGCCCAGTGAATCTTAGTAACAAACACCCAGTCCTATTGCACCATGTGAATTTATTGCACTTTTGCTCTGGCCACGCAAGTCAATCGTACTGTTGTTGTAGGGTTATTTTTCATTCAGGAGTCTGATAAAAACTGTTCTTCAGCCTGATGGTGTGGCTGCCTATGCTTCTATATCTCCTTCCAAATGGTAGGAGAATAAAGAAGGGCTGATTAGGATGTGAGTCAGTGGTGGGTTCCGGATCCTGTTCCAACTGGTACAGTTGGAATAAGCCCGGCATCGCCCACATGGATGTGCGTGGTGCGCGCATGCGTTGTAGCTGCCAGCGACACTTCCGCAAGCCTCCACGATGCTCCAGCTGCTTGTCAGAGCGTCATGCAGTTGCTGTACGTGCCATGCACGTGTGCGGAAGTGCCAAAGTCTTTAAAGGACAGGTAAGGAGTTCGGGCGGGCAGGCGGGCCCTCTGGAGCACCGTACCGGAATGGTACCTGGTGCTCCGGGCAGGCTCCGGTACGCCCATACCAGGGCGTACCGCCTGCAACCCACCATTGGTGTGAGTCATCCCTGAGGATTTTCCTCACTCTTCTAAGGCAGCGAGGCCTAGCAATGGTCTATGGCACACATGCTACAGGTGGCACGCGGAGCCATCTTTGCCAACATGCCAGACCTCAGCTGATTTTTGGCACTTCCAGAGCGTGGCACGACAAAACCGCGCTCCACTAAAGCGCGCCCGATTAAAGCGCGTCGCTGACGTCATCAACAGGGCGACAACAGCGCGGAGACAGAAGCACGCTGTAAACGCTAAACCTAAAATTAACCCCTAAACCTAAACCTAACCCCCCCTAAACCTAATCCTAAACCTAACCCTAAACCTAACCCTTAACCTAACCCT